TTCTCTCACTTGTCTCCGCAGTAAATTTCTTATTCATAACGGGGCTCGCGCCCCGCGTCGGTTCGCGCGCGCGCAAGGCGTCGAGCGGGGGGGAGGGGGGAGGGGGGAGAGAGCAAAGGTCGCCGTGCGGGTCCCGGCGCGTGCTCAGCAGGCCTTGCTCATTACTCATCCAGGAGGCCGAGCGGGCGGGCGGGCGCGCGCCCGCGCAAATTCGCCGATGTATAATTCAATTAATAGATTATTTAGGCTGTGATATAACAGATGGACTGCGTGGTCGGAGCCTGGGGACCTAGAGACCTACGTATGCAGCTTGAGTCTATTTGAAACAGATGTGGTTTGCTGAGGTTTCACGTATTTCGTAAATTGCTTGATTTTCAGGGGCTACTTCGCAGGTTCCGCTTGTTATTAGAATATTCAATTTTATTTTTTTCCTCTTCTAAATTGAACATATGTATGGAGAAGTTGTTCAATATTAGCCTCACTCTTTGGTTTCATTCATACACTAATCTTAACAACCTGTATTGCAGAATATACAACAAAAGTATTCCTGTTATTCGGAATACTATAAGATCGTGAAAAATCGTTTATCATCTTATAACAATAGGGATTTGCTTTAAGATATAACATTATCAAACGCAGAAATTTGTATTTCTATGATTTCGTGAACAAAAGAAGTTTTGTTGGAATGTAATTATTAGGAAGAATAAATATCTTTACGACGAAAAACGAAATAAATGAACACTAAAACAATAAAAACAGAATAAATATAAATGAAACGTGAATAGGATACACTGGGGTTGTCAAACATCTCTATGCGACTATAAACTACAGAAAACAACACACTGCTTAACACCTCTAAGAACTCAAGACTTCATTGTTACCTAAATTGAGCGAAATGTTTCTGTTTCTTTGAACAAGCTGGGAAATGGGCAACGTTTGCGAGTTATTTGTAAGAGTATGTTAAAAAAGAACTATGTGTACGAACGAGCGAGACGATGATGAGTTTGCAACCTGCGGTGAATTTACCTCGGAAATGTATGGGTTAAGGAAGTGGAAACATACATTACACATAAGAATTGTAAACAAAAATATGTTAAAAGTGACCTCGTAATATAGAGTGTATATATACATACACCTCATATACACTGGTCTTCTAAAATGTTTATTGCCAGACGTGATATGAAGCGAATGAGAGGAATTAAATTCTTTTAGAATTTAGAGCATCAACACTTTTATAGAAACCCATTGTGTAATCTGTTAATTGTCACATTTCTAAGAAAGAATTTGAAAAATTTTGAATCAGGCACATTCGATTACACCATACAAACTCTCCATTCATCCATGCATCATCCATTTACACTACACTTAAAGACTTAAAATTGCCGACACTCTTTGAAAGAATTGAAACAAGCAGCATAAGCTATTTTCAACGTCTCGAAACACACCCAAATCTTCTACCCATCAATCTCCTGGACAATAGTGAAGAAACCTACCGATTACTCGGAATTAAATCCTTACAACTTCATTATATATTTTCAAATTAGCCTCAATATATTCACATATTCTTCAATTTTGATTCCTGGTCAAAAGTACTAGATTGTTCGTAATTAACATTGGCTTTCTGGTAACTGTACACGCACAAACATCCTTTCCCCGGGCGGGATTCGAATCCGCGAACGTTCAGACGCGAGGCAGCTTTGACCCTTCGGCCTTAGTGACCTCGGCTATCCAGGGCGGCGCTTATGTACTTTATGTTCGATATCATCAATAAAAAATCAATGTTTATTTATAAAACTTAATTTTAAAACAATTGACTCAAGAAGTATCTATCCATCTCTCTCTGAAATTTAAGCCATTTATCTACCTAGCTAATTTCTCCCTGTCTCTGTCTTCTCTTCTGTCTTCTCTCTGTCTCTCTCTTTGTCTCTCTCTTTGGTCCTCTCTGTCTGTCTCTCTCTGTCTCTCTCTGTTCTCTCTCTGTCTCTCTCTGTCATCTGTCTCTCTCTGTTCTCTCTGTCTCTCTCTGTCTCTCTTCTGTCTCTCTCTCTCTCTGTCTCTCTCTCTGTCTCTCTGTCTCTTCTGTCTCTCTCTCTGTCTCTTCTTCTTCTTCTGTTCTTTCGATGTCTTCTTGTTCTCTTCTGTTCTCTCTCTGTCTCTCTCTCTCTCTGTCTCTGTGTGTGTGTAATTTTTATTTTAGCTCTGAGGATATACATGAATTATAAAAATGAAGTATAAGCTATTACAAAATGTTATATACAAAATGTTGATATTGTATGGCAGATTTGTAAGCAAACTGGGTCGTACATACCTTGCAGCTTCTGGGCCGAAAAGGTACGACCCAGTTTGCTTACGGATCTGGCATACAATATCAACATTTTGTAAATAACATTTTGTAATAACTTATACTTCATTTTTATAATTCATGTATTAATATATATTATATTGATTCCAGACATCATATTTAATTTACCGTATTTAATTATTAGAAAGTATCTACTTCACCAACTATCTAATTCATCTATCAATACTTTTCCGCCTTCTCCTTCATTTAAAATTTCTCATTGAGAATTCTTCTTAATATGCGTACAATATGAGTATTTCAACATTTAAAGAGGAGCGCACACTGCTCGGCAGCGCACTGAATGCCATTTTTAAGGCCAGGAATATGCATAGGCGGGAGAAAAGGTCTCTGGCAAGAGAGCAGTGATTGTGCGTTCATCCCTCCCTCGTTTGTAACCACCGACGCGCACTCTGTCCCATTAATCACACACGTGCAATTAATTTTCTATGAACGAATGGCGCGTCGGTAACCACACGACATGGAAAACGTGCTCTTAACAGAGGGAAGGAGATATATTGTTACCTGTTAGACCACGTGTTTGCTCTCTGATTCTCTACGGAAATTATATAAAGACACCCGCTCGTTCAATCATACGGTGATTAGTTTTGCCAGAGTAGTGAAATTGTATAAAATTCTGAACAAGAAAAATGTACTCTCTATTTTGCATTAAAATAATTAGTAAATATGTTATTATCGATAATTGACAACGGCAATGACAATTTGTGGGTGAAAATATCCCAGTGGTACATTCACCATCTTCTTGCTTCTGGAACCGAAATAGTCAAGTTGGTAATTTTGACCAGGAATCAAAAGTAAGAATATACTTGTATGTGAATATATTGACGCTAATTTGAAAATCTATAATGGAGTTGTAAGGGTGTAATTCCGGGTAATCGGTACGTTTCTTCACTATTGTACAGGAGGTTGATGATTAATTTTGGGTTTGAGTGGGTTTCCAGACGTTGAAGATAGCTTGAGCTGCTTGTTTCAATTCTTTCAAAGACTGTCGGCACTTTTAAGCCTCTAAAAGGTAGTGCAAATGGCAGCATGGATTAATGGTAAGTTTTTATCGTGTAATGCAATGTTTGTTTTTATGGTGTAATGCCTGATTGAGAATTCTTCGAATACTTTCTTAGAAATGTGACATTTTATAGATTACACAAGGGGTTTCAATAAAGTGTTGATGTTCTAAATTCTAAAAGATGTAAATTACTCTCATTCAGTGCTCTTTATGCGATCTTAGTAGTTGAAAAGGCAATCTACAAACAAATAAAAAATGTACATAAGTATAATGGTTTGCTTCGAGTAAAGCACTTTCAGGGAAAAACGTCAAAATAAACACGTATTTATTTCTTTTTCATTTTTTTGTTACTATACTTCATTAATGTAAACGTACGATCAGATTTTTGATTCAGAAGTTTACATTGACCCTCTTAAAGAGAAGTGATGATTGCAGATATCGGAACCTTTTATTGTATTTGCTAAGAAGAAAACATATTTTAGGCATGAGAAATTTTAAACATTCGAATTGTGTTTGTATTTGATATTACTTAACTTTATCTTGACTTTCTGACATTTGAAAAAACATGTCAACATGTCTGGTTGTATTTTTTTAACAGTTCAAGTTGAAAGCATGTATTCAACTTTCTGCATTGAATATTTTATATGTGAACTACCAGTACAGAATGTGCATGATGGATAAATAGTGCGTCAGGAACGTCTTGTAGCTACCAAATCACTGAGAAACAAAGGAAGTGGACAACATCTCCAGCATCTGTTATGATTGTGGTGAGTGCGAAATGTGCTTTTTAATAGCTGGAGCTTGTGCTACCAACATAATTTCGGATTCTAGCTCTCTTGCCAGCAATGTGCCACTACGGAGACTTTCCTGCCGCGCTGTATTAAGAGACGGTATGCTCTGCCCATTGCTTACGGAGGAAATCCAACCGTCTTGTTTGCCTTGCAGCCCACCTGCTGACGTCATCATGCAGCGTGCTGTCCGCCCTGCTGGCGTGCTCGCTGCTGCGGCTGCTCGTGTCTTGACGCTGACCGCCCCCGCGGCCGCCCGGGCTGTGCGTCGGAGACGATGGGGCCGACGCCGGCTGCGACGGGCCTCCGTAACTCGGATGCGCTTCCGGGTCGCTGCCAGCCTCGCCAGCGAGCTCCCTGCCGTGCTCGGCACCGAGCTCGACCCCGCGAGCTCGACACCGTGCTCGACTCTCGAGTTCGACACCGAACTCGACCCTCGAGCTCGACACCAAGCTCGACCCGCGAGCTCGACACCGAGCTCGACTCGCGAGCTTGACACCGAGCTCGACCCTCGAGCTCGACCCCAGAGCTCGACACCGAGCTCGACCAGGAGCGCGCTGCCCGAGGCGGTCCGTGCCACAAAGCGGGCCCCGAGAGGAGGTGGTTTCCAACACGGATGCGGATGCAGACGTGATCGGACGCAGTGGTGATTGTTAGCGAGTGGAGTGCTTGTGGAGTGACGGGTGACGGACGATGCGGCTGCGACAGTCGGGTTGGAGGGTGGGTCGCTCTGACTGGACGCGCCGAGGAGTGGGTTGGGATCGAGCGCGAGAGGAGCCCGGTCGATTTCGAGACGCTCACGCAGAAGAGTAAACATCCGATGGCGGAACACTAAATCAGGCGTTTACAGCGGAAGAAACGCTTCGTCGTATCTCTTGGCTGGAGCCCGCACGCGGACGCGGTTGTTAATACGTAATGATCCATTCTTGGACGTCACATTTATTCTTGACAGTCGTTACTTTTTAAATAAGTTGATCTCTTCTTCCGAACATTTTGCGAACTGTAAAGAATCGGAAATCGACATAAATTGGCAGGAACATAAATTTAAGATAAGTTGGAAAGAATAAAATCCGAACATTTATCTCAGTCTAAAGATGAGAAGTGTTAAAAAAATTCACGTCTCGTTCTCCGTGATAAATAGTTTATCTGTATCATACTCATAATGCAGTGATGAAAGATATTTTTATTTTGCGGTGTTTTTTATGAGCAGTCTTACAAAACGTTCAGAAAAATGTAGAGTCAATTTTTATCAACCGAAATCGACAATTAGACTTAAAAGGTTTTAGAAACTTCAAACCTCTACATTAGCTCTGTCCTGGTGATTTATTTCAACCTCGTTTCTCTTGCGATGATAAATATTTCCTGAGAAAAGTGTATATGAAAAAATTAATAATACGATTTGTTAATTAATTTTATTGAAGTTAACGTGAGTTATTATACAATAGAACTTGTTGAGAATCGATCAAATCAAATATAAAATCTTCTGATTTTGAAAATTATGATGGAACACGTACCGTTGGTAGCCATGATGTGTTCCAAGCTAATCGAGATGGCCGTGCTCCTCTCAGCAGCGCCAAGGTGCGTGTGGTAGCAACAAGAGAGCATTTATAAGGTAGAACCAATAGAAGTGGTGCGAAGATGGTGTATTTGTACAAGAGAAACAAAGAAGAGAAACTGAAAATTGTTAGTGTTTGTGATTCTTTGTAAATCAGGCAACAAAAAACATTCCATTTTCCCTAACGTACCCACGCATTTATGTTAACTTCCCTGTGTCTCAGAGTATCCTGGTAATCTGATAATATCAAATGGTGACGGTTGCTTCAGTGTTGTACCTCCCCTATAAAGGCTTTCTACGTCGCTCGCGCGCAAGTGGACGCTGTGTAAACTTCTGCCCCGTAGCGCTCCCCGCGTTTTCGTTGTTCGCCGGGTGGCAGTTCTAGCCCGGGCCCTCCCCCTCCTCACCTCTTGCTGTTCCCACCAGAGGCGCTGACGGCGCCGTGCCCGCCCTCCCAAGTTCACGTCACGGCGCTCGCGCGATCTTGTAGATGTATCTCACGCCCCCAACCCTGCAATTTCGTTCTGGAGTTGTTCGTGAAGTTATCTTCTCTGCCGTTTTATTAATAAATTGTATTTTACAGTTTGTTGGTTATCATTCGGATATATTCTCAATATTATATTTGTGATGTATGAAATATGAGTACTATTATATATTAAATATCTCCGATATTTTAAATGGAATTTATTTGTATTTTGAGCGAGCGCTGACCGGCAATTAGGACTGAATGCGTGTGGGGAAAGTTTTGTTTGTCCATAGTATATTATGAGCATTGAGCACACAATGCAACGTGCCTGTTTTTCAACTTCCTGGTCAGTGGTTGGCTGGCCAGCCGCATTTCCCCAGTTGCCCCTGCAGCGTTCGCCTATCTCCCATTATGCCTTGTGATGTTTGGTTTGGCAAAACACAAATACAGTAAGCAGCTTCTGCTCATTATATGCCTACATGAATGGCAATAAGCTTACCTCAAAATCGCTAATTTCGGTACAGTGAATGGTAATAGGGCTTTTGCTGTTTTTTATCTGCAGACGGCAGAGTTCGCAGGAAGGAAAGATCGCATCGAAAGGTAATGTAGCGCTACTTCCAAACAGATATGGTGTAAATTTTACACTTTCTCATTTCAGCATTGGTGTGCCCGTATTTGGAAACCTGCATTAGAAACATCAGGATAAATAACTAACAGTTTCCATCGGATACAAAAGCTAATCAAACAACAATGTTTTCATGAAGTGGGCAATAAAACTATTCAATGTTATAATACTGCAATTCCTAACAATTCCCAAATAAATATTTTTGATTGCTGTGTCGATGACTACGGAAAGGTATGTTACAAAAATATTTTATTTCTTTTCTTTATATTTCTTTAATTGTTTCATTCGTATATTTGAAATGTTCCTTAATATACGAGCTAACTTTACTGTTACATACCACTAGTTTGAGTATTATTGTAGAAGCGTAATAATATTTTGGAAACATCATGCACTTTGAGACTTGTTGGGAAAATTTCTAATTATCTTTTTACTAATTATTTTTCTTCATTTCACCAAGTAACTATAACCTATTTGTTAATTATGAAACATGTTCATTTTTATTGGGAAGACAATGACATATGTGATATCAGCAACGTCACAGCCCTCTGAATTGGTTTCTCTGATTCGTGATTTTTTCGCACGGGACTCATTTTGCAGTTCCAAGCTGATTTGTTCTGGTAAGTTATAACAATATGATTGTAATATTGGTTAGATTAATATATCTATAAAGTTGACACCTCATTTCATGCTATTAAAATTCGCAAATTCTCCATCCAAGGAAATGATAATAAGGATGATCAATTACACACTTTAACTACATAAACCAGTGGTGCTACAACACATTTTCCCGCATTGTATATAAAATTGAAATGTTCGAAAATTCAGACTTCAACGAAAATTAGATCTGCGTATTTCTTTTAAGCGTTTTTTGTTCTATCCTTGGATAAAAATGGAAGAAAAATATTGATCGAATTTGAGAAAATATCCTTTTATATAAATTGCAAACAATATACACCCCCATTGTACCTTTCTTAAAAAGCATATTTTTAGAACAGATTTTTAAGGCAAAAACATTTTCAATTTCGTAATTTTGAATTGTTTAATGTTTGCAAGTTTTGAAAATTCAGTGAGTTCACGGAATGGTGTCATCTGGAACAGCGCTCTGGACCAGGCAATCGCCCGACTGCATCCCGAAGTCAGTTCCTCCTCATCACCACTTCCTAGCTAATTCCCTTTCACTTTTCGTTATCCGAGAAGGCATAGCCCTACGGAATCCCTTTCGTTCATCCGGAGTTCCGGAAGAAGTAAATTTTGTTGTTGTTAAATTTACATTGATAAGTAGCGCAAAAATATGATCTTACACCAGTCAAAAGAAAACTTGGAACACAAATGAACGTGTCTTATTCTTAGAAATTGTGTAAGAAGTCAGCGGGGCAGTAACATTCTTGTGATGAAGATTCTGTTTTCTTAAAATTTTAAGTGGCGGTTTTCAACGTTGACAGTGCTCTAACACGACGTGCAAATGTTTCTTGGAAACAGAAGGGGATCAATTACAATCAAACACTTAAATACGAAACAGACCACGGTAAACAAATAAATCAGTCATTATACTAAGGTGTAAATGGAACAGGATGCAAATGGACTATGTTCTTTTGGGTAGGTAGGTAATTGACTTAGGAAAAATTGATTGCGAGATGCAATGGGTATACGCCCCTCGATTTCACCCCCGTTCGATTCCCAATGCGGTGGGCTTGTACTACAATGGCGTTTCTCTCATACGGGCAGGATATAAGCTCATTACCTACCAGTAGGCTACAAATATCTCCATTGTGATCCCTGGGGTAAGTAGACACAGTGTGTGCCATAAATTTTAACAATTCCATTCTGAATCTAAAAGGTTCTCTATTCTTATTGTCCCCTTTATATCTGCGAAATGACCATCTTTACCACTTTATTACGATTGCAACAGTGTTTTAAGTGTTTAATTGAGTAATTTTTACTTTTTAAAATTTGCATTTGAACTTCCTTAATTGAAGGTTAATAAGTGTATCTCAATTAGATGAGTATTAGTCGCTTGCTGTAGGGGAAACTAATACCAAAAGACTGATGTACCTAGGAAAAAGCATGCTTTCGAGGAGTCTAAGAGACATATTTAAGATTCATGTTTCCCTCCACTGCTATTGCCATTTGTAAATGATTAACTGTCAAGTGAACGATTTTGTAGTGTAAAGAGTTTCCGTGATTTTATGAGAGTTTAAAAGACGTCACGAATGAAAAGTAAAAATGTCTGCATTTCTCTTTCATCAGATTTGTAATAACTACTATTATTATGAAAATTGAAGTAGATCTACACTTCTAGCATAAAATGTAGTTAATTCAGGGTGTATACTTATTTCCTACAGATAACCTACAATACAGAAAAGTACCCATGTTCTTTCATGATTGCAAATTGCTGTACTTAGAGAAGTCCCGTAAGTGTAGTATTAAATTTAATTAATTAGCTTCAGGATATAATAATGTTTCAGGATGTTGTTTGTTGTTAAACATCGTATGTCAATTCCTTGTTCTGCAACAGTTAAGTTATAGGAAATGGCGAATCTGAAAACCTTATTTTGCAATTTAAAAAAAAATGCTCATAACAATGATGGAGGATTCGATTGTTTGCAAAGGCAGCGAACATTGTTTTTCCTGTTTTCTTTACAAGTCATAATCTAGATTGAAGTCCTTCCTGTTTAAAACATGCTGCTGTTATATCTTGTGAAGTTGATATAGACGATAGAACATAAGCTAGCAGAGCATAAGAAGAAATAAAAAATAAATCTTTGCTGCCCTTAATTACAACCAAACACAGACTGGTTCTAGTCCGTGTTTAGCTGTAATTAAGGGCAGCAACGATTTATTTTGTTCTATACAATTTATTACAATATAGGTTAAGGACCCTATTGTTCAATAACTGTTATTGTGATATTTACTCCATGAAAAAAGAACATACATTTATTTAGTTGAAGTTTTTTCATATTCCCTACGTTGTCGCCCGGTAAGTCAGTACAATGAACTTAGTTTATTTGTGTACAATGTGTCCCTATCTCAAAAATAACGTTAAAGAATATCTATAAAAGTTATTATTATTACACATAAATAAGCTGAGATTTGTAGCATGCTAAAAAGAGGAACTTAATCGTCATATCTAAAGAAGAGAAATTAGTGGTGGTACGGAATGGCGCAGACTTTCTCGTATTAGCTTTTCTATTTTCGTTGGTCTCGACTTGGTATTCGGACTTGCGGCATATACTTGCCAGCTGCCCACCTATCGCCACACATACAATATTT